CAATATTTTATAGGTTATCCTTAGTGCAGGGGGCCCTGAAGGCATTAAGGAGATATTCCACTTTTTGTTTTTAAATAAGTGTAAGGTTAAATTGCTAGTACTTAAATTTCTCTGATGAGGAATATTTTCATTTTTGTCATTCCTGTTATTATTTTATTTGTCTGGGTTTTCAGATTATACTTTTAAGTGTTTTAATTTCACTGGTCAAAGTAAAGTTAGGCTGCACTGCCCTTAGGTATTGATCTGTTTTTCACTAATTTAAAGTAGGAAAGCACCAACATCAGTGCAGTATTTTTTAGATTGAAGTATATCAACCAAGATTAAAAGAGATCTGGGTAGAATTTGGTACTTTTCTCACTACTTACTAACATTGCTAATCACAACTTAATCTTATCCTTTCAGTTTAATTTTTTAAAAATATTTTTTAGCCGAAACCGGTTTGGCTCAGTGGACAGAGCGTCGGCCTGCGGACTGAAGGGTCCCAGGTTCGATTCCGGTCAAGGGCATGTACCTGGGTTGTGGGCACATCCCCAGTAGGGGGTGTGCAGGAGGCAGCTGATTGATGTTTCTCTCTCATCGATGTTTCTAACTCTCTATGCCTCTCCCTTTCTCTCTGTAAAAAAAAAGCAATAAAACATATTTTTAAAAAGAATATTTTTATTGATTTCAGAGAGGAAGGGAGAGAAACATCAATGATGAGAGAGAATCATTGATCTGCTGCCTCCTGCAACCCCACACTGGGGATTGAGCCTGCAACCCAGGCATTTGCCATAACTAGGAATCAAACTATGACCTCCTGGTTCATAGGTTGATGATCAACCACTGAGCCACACCAGCCGGGCTCAGTTTGATTTTAATGTTTCTTTCTAACTTATTTTAAACTCTTTCCTTGGATTCAGGCCTCCTTGGGTCTGACATCTGGCTCTGGGGTTGGGACAATTTAATAACAAACACTTAAAAAGTTTTTGTCTCTGCTGCCAAGTAGAGTGTGTGACCTCTCTGAAGTGGGCCCTCTTGCTTTATTAGTAGGTTTCTTTATTTGAAGACATTTTTTTTCTTTAATCTTCCGAGCTTCTCTGGTCATTTTACACAAGAGAGAGACTTCTCAGGGAGGAAGCTGAACATATCATCCCTTTTCTTTCCTGTTCCCTGAATTTAACTTTCTTCTTTCAGCATAAATTAAGGCTAGGAAGGGAGGGCAGACATATCACACAACTGTGTTTCCATACAGAGAATACAAAAGCCTAACACTGATCTTTTGCTAGGTACCCATTTCCTCCCTACTGTTTTTCTTGAGGACCAATGGCCTTTGGCTAAATGAAATCCCACATCCCACTCAAGCCTATGAGAACGGAATAGGCTTTCCCCACCCCTCCGTAGCTGATTCTCACTCTTCTTTTCTATATCCCAACGTTTTTCTTATCCCACATTTGATCAGAATAAAGGATTATAACAGCTTCATCCCCTGGTCCAGACTTGTTCCTACTTTTTTTTTTTTTTAATACGTATTTTTATTGATTTCAGAGAGGAAGGGAGAGGGAGAGAGACATAGAAACATCAATTATGAGAATCATTGATCGGCTGTGCTGTCTCCTGCTTTCCAGCCACTGGGGATCGAGCCCACAACCCTGGGCATGTGCCCTTGACCGAAATCGAATCTGGGACCTTTCAGTCCGCAGGCCAATGCTCTGTCCACCGAGCCAAACCAGCCAGGGCTTGTTCCTACTTTTTTAGCAAGCCCCCTTTCTGGACTGTCCATCACAATATAAAACAGGGGTCCTCAAACTTTTTAAACAGGGGGCCAGTTCACTGTCCCTCAGACCGTTGAAGGGCCGGACTATAGTTTAAAAAAAAACTATGAACAAATTCCTATGCACACAGCGGCGGCACGGCCCACGGGCCGTAGTTTGAGGACCCCTGATATAAAACATAAACCCAGTCAAGTGCAGTGCAACAGTGGAAGAGGATTTTAGGGTGTAAGTACAATTGTTACCAGGGAAAATAGATAAATTTTTGTCATTGGTTAGTAAAGTAAGGCTTAAAATATTAATCCCTTAAGCGTTCTATGATATATATATATATTTTTTTTAATTTATATATATATATATATATATATATATATATATATATATATATATATTAATCCAAAGACCCTCATGCTTGGATTTATGATTTTTTCCTGTCTGTCATGCTTTCTTTCTCTATCACACAATCATTCTCTTAGTTCTATCCTTTTTTTGATCCTAAAGAAAAAAATTCTTGAGTGGACCTCACGTCCATCCATCCCTTGTGGTCTTTGCCCTCTTGCAGCTTACTTTCTTGCTGAATCGGGGTAGACTTTGTGTTCTACTTTTTTCCTTAAGTGCATTTTATCAGTTTCTCCATCTTTCCCACACTAGAAGACTTGGATTTTCTTCTTGGTGGTAGATTTCTCTAATCTCTCCCCTCTAGTCTTGCTTCTAGCTCTTCTAGTCTCTCTATTCTTTTCTAATAAATCCTCTTTAGTTTCCCATCATTGTTTCTTTCATGGTCTTCCCACTCAGAAAGTGTTGAGACTGGTTGCATTTCATTCCTTCCCAACAATATAGTCTGTGTCATGCATGCACTTTTTTTTTTTTTTCAGCATTATGATCTTGTCCTAGGAGCTCTGTGATCTATCACTACATTTAAAATGCTCAAGGTTGAGTGTCCACCTATGAACCAGGAGGTCACTGTTCCATTCCTGGTCGGGGCATAAGCCTGAGTTGTGGGCTCGAGTTGTGGTTGTAGGAAGCAACCAATCAATGATTCTTTCTCATCATTGATGTTTCTATCTCTCCCTCCCTCTCTGAAGTCAGTAAAAAGAAATTTTAATAAAATAAAATGCTCAAGGTCCTCTATATACATTTTAATACATGAGCCCTAAGAAAGGGATACATTTTGTAAGATGCTATCTTATCTGCCTTGTATCTTAGTGCAATGGGTAGCCCATAGTCCATGTGTAATATTTTAAAATAAAGTGATGAATTGATTTATTTTCTAAATTGAATACATTTGACATATAACATTGGATAAATTTAAGTTATACATGTTACTTTGATACATGTATATATTATAACTAGAGGCCTGGTGCATGAAATTGGTGCATGGGTAGGGTCCCTAGGCCTGCCTGGCAATCAGGGCCGATAGGGGCCTTCTGGCTGCTGACTGGGGCCTTCCTTCCAGCTGCCTGCTGGGACTTTCCTTCATTTGGCACCACCCCTGGTGGTCAGCACACGTCATAGTGAGCGATCGAACTCCCACAGGGGCAATTTGCATATTAGACTTTTATATAGATATATAGATATATAGATAATAGATATGATTGTCCTAGTGATGTTTACCATATTACATAATTATAGTAAATATTATCTATATTCATATTACATAAAGTACAATGTTGTCTGTATTCATTACACTATGCTCTAGATCTCTATGGCTTATCTACTGCTTATTGCAAATTTGTGCCCTTACACACCATTAGTCTTATCTCTCTACCTCCTGAGATAAATAGATTTTGAGTTGTACTCCCACGGTCTACATATCAAAAAAATTAAGACGGCTGTTAGACCTTTTTTGTTGTCTAGTTTCTAGTTTTATTTACTTAAAAGACAGATATTCTTTGTTGTCATAGTTACCTCTTGCCTCTAATTTGAAAATTTTTGAATAAGTATAGATAAATTTTTAGTCTTAACATCAGTGGAAACTAAATATTATCTTTTTAACAACAAATCTTTATTGTTAAAATAGAGAGAGTAAGCCCAACTGTATGAGGCTGGAATTTATGCAGTGATTTATTGTAAGTTTTGAAAGTATTTTATTACTTTGGACGCAAGCCCCTAGATTGTAGTTATTCCAGTGGATACACAGCAGATTGCTCTCTGGCAGCTGTCACTTGCTGATGCTTTATTTACCAGGTGGGCTGACTGCTGCAGTTTAAATATAGTTCTTCAAACAAGTTCCTGATGTCTTATTAAAATGAAGTTGTTTCTCAGAAAATTAAAAGCTTAATTAGCTGGAAGTTTGCATATTTTCAATAAAAAGATGATTTTTTACAAATGAACAAGTCTAATGGTAACACTAGAAGTAAGTCCGTACATCCCCTTAGTGTCATTGTTTACTTCATTTTATAGAAGAAACAAGTTCAGGGAGGTCACCCAGTCGGGGTGAGAAGCAGCCTGCTATCACTGCCCACATTCTTGGCTTTCTACCAATGCTTCCCAAACTTGTCACTTCCTAGAGAGCCTGTTCTATGATCTGCCAGTGTCTCTTAACCTTCTGGCTGCCCCTAAATCCTCCAATTTTGAAAGATGTTACCTACAAATCTACATTTGTTAGATAAACTTACTGTATTTTGGACAATCAAAAACAAAAGAACTTAAAGTTAGACTTTCTGATCAATATGAGCTAACTAACCAGGAGCCACACTAAATTGATAGAATTTTGGCAAAGAAAGCCCCCCCCCCTTTTTTTTTTTCCAGAAATGGATACATTGCATAAAGCTTAATTTAGGAAATAATGGTTTATAGATCGACATTAATACTGACCTAATACTTCTTAGAGCCTTAAAGATCTGAGGACCCCTGGGAGCAGTGAGAACCCTAGGTTCTGAGCCATAGCTCTTAAACCTGCTACCTTGCAGTTTAAAATCGAATTGTTATTTGGATGCCTAAAAAGAAAATGCCTGGCCCGGCCAGTGTGGCGCAGTGGTTGAGCATTGACCTATGAACCAGAAGGTCACAGTTCAATTCCCAGTCAGGGCACATGCCCAGGTTATGGGCTTGATCCCCCAGTAAGGGGGCATGCAGGAGGCAGCCGTTCAATGATTCTCTCTCATTATTGATGTTTCTATGTCTTTCTCCTTCTCCTTTCTTCTCTGAAATCAATAAAAACATATTTTTTTAAAGGAAAGAAAGAAAATGCCTGTTTCAGAGCGAACATGTTGAATTAATGCTTTTATTTCTTTTGCTTTTTGCACATAGATTGAATATGAAAGGAAAAAGAAAGAAGATGGAAAACGAGCTCGAGCTGATAAACAGTATGTCTTAGACATGCTGTTTTCGGCTTTTGAGAAACATCAGTATTATAATCTTAAGGACCTGGTGGACATCACAAAACAGCCTGTGGTATGTATATGCTCACATTGATCCTTTTAATGTTTCCTGCTTCACTAACAGTGAACCACTTAAGAGAGGTGTATCATATGTAAGTTCATATGCACTGTGCTAATGGCAGAAAGGGTGTCTTAATGCAGCTTTCTTTTGTTTATAACATCAGCTTCATTATTTTGAATTTCAAGTATATTTAATATTAATAGTTGCATAAGAAATAAAGGTGAATTTATTCTCCTTTTGACTGATCCTGAACATTAAGCCTGAAGTCGTTTTTTATGTCATTTCTAATCTTTCTTTTGTTCTCCTAGCTTCCTCCAAAAAAGCTCAACTCCTTGTTTTAATTGGAAAATGTGTCTTAGAAGAATCATATTCTTTTAAGAGTCATACCTGTCTGTCACAATGAGAGTTTATTCTGCCTGTGGGCTATTCTGTAATGGATTTTTTAAATCTACCTAACATTAGCATTAGGTCCTTTTAAACTGGCAGTATTGCCTCATGATGGTTGTTGGGACTGTAGTTAGGTTTGCCTATTCTCCATTTTTAAGGAAATAAATTGATGTTTTTGAAATCTTGTTTGTTCTTTAAATGATCATTTTTTACCAATTCTCCAGACTTTTGTACATATTTGCTAATAATTTGTATTTCTAATCCATTTAGAATGCTGGAAATAAGTAAAGGGATCCAAATCCTTTCTCCAGCCTTTGGCATTTCCTTCTGTTTCTCTTTCTTACACTTAATGTTAGCAAAGCATCAAATTGAATTATAACAGTATTTACTTACAAGTTTTAAAAGTTAAATGCAAAACCTTTTATTTTCTGTCCTTTTATCTAGTTTCTTTGATCAGTTGTCCACTTTGCTAGTATACTCAAGATTATGTTAATTCTAACTGTTCTGTTTATTTGCTACAGAATATGCAACAAGATAACCAGTTTTTAAAAACTTTTTAACATAACCAAATCATTCCTTAGTAAAGGGCTTGGTACTTTTCCCCCCTATTTATTCAAAGCTATAGGAAATGACTTATGAAACTTCAGTATTGATTGTACAGTTTCTCACTTCTGCAGAGACTTCTCTACTGTTATACTTCAATCTTTTACTTTTTCATTAAGAAATTAATTTAAATTCCAAAATATCTAAATAATTTTTTTAATAGACAGGAGGAAAGTGCTCATACTATGGTATTATCAGCTCATCTTAATGACTTCTTTCCTTACAGCATCAAAGTCTTAGAAACGGCATTCCAAGCTAGAAAAAAAAAATTTGAAATAGAATAATTCATTAGCTAAGCTGTGTTTCTTCCGGTTTTAATGAAGTCTATCTTTGTGTTTTATGTAAATATGAAAAAGTCAATCTGGAAACTCTGAATACAAACAATATATATATTCTCATTGAATAATAATACTATATATGGAAATAGACATTTTTAGAGGGACATTTAGAAGGTACTAGCAAAAGAGTTCCTTTGCCTTAACATGCAATGGCACTTTTTTTTTAATGGTGATACAACAGATCTATTATTATGTCATACATATCATACATACATATGTACACATACATACACATACATACAGCATGCCTTTATAGGCAATTTGGTATAGCCTATTGCATCTAGGCTACAAGAGTGTACAGCATGTTACTGTACAAAGCAAGAGATTAAATTAAGCACAAGAGGAAATGATACGATCAAGAGATGCAGTAAATACGAGATGTGTGAGGCTATTGCCTGCGAAACAAGGCATACTGTTTTATAGCAAACTTTTTTTAATGCTTTTTTTTTTTTATAACTACTACTAGTTCTACTATAACTACTTCAACTACTACTACACAACAAATACGGCTACTTGGGCCCACCTAGTTCCTCAGGGAACTAGTGTTTTCAGAGATGACAGGCTGAAGGGACAGCTAACCCAGGGATGATTGATTGAACTCAGCTTAGCAATGGGTGTTCTTGATTGAGCTAAACTGACCCAAACTTATATTTAATGTCTTAACTGGGACAAAACTATCTGAATTTAGATTATTAATTTCTTTTCTTTTAATTTAAATTCTTTATTGTTTAAAGTATTACATAAGTCTACTTTTTTTTTATTGATTTCAGAGAGGAAGGAAGAGGGAGAGAGATAGATACATCAATGATGAGAGAGAATCATTGATTGGCTGCTTCCTGCATGCCCCACGCTGGGGTTGGAGCCCCCAATCTGGCATATGCCCTGACTGGGAATCAAACTATGACCTTCCAGTTCATAGGTCGACGTTCAGCCACTGAGCCACGCTGCCTGGGCGTAATAGTTTTATTATTTAGAGACTGAATTGCCTCAGCAAGCATAAGGTTCTTGAATACAGAATTCGATATTCATATCCCTAAATATTAGATGAATTAATTTGGAAAAAGGGAAATGGTTATATCCTCAGTATCCAGAGCCACCATATTTTCCTCAGATGGATTTTTCAAGCCTGACCTCATTTTTATCAGGAATGGAGGACAAAAAGCCAGTTTTAAGAAAGTGTAGACTGTCAGGGCTACAATTACACTTGCTTAGAGGAGAAGGCAGGAATTGGTTCCAGCCCTGCCATTTCCCTCAGTGCGTTCTAGGAAAGTCACTTCCAGTTCTAAAATTGAGGGAGTAGATTATCTTTGTGATCCTTTCCAGCTCTAAATCTGATTCTCTCCCTCTCCTGTTTCATCTCCTTCTCTCCACCTCCCTCTCACATTTGAGCTGAAGTGGCCAAAGCCCAACTCATCTTCATATAGGTAACTGCTCCCTGTAAAAGGTACACATTACATTAAGTGAGTCTGTTATAATGGTCATCTGAACACTCTGTTAATTTGATTTTAGCCTGAGCAGCAATGAGAATGAAGGAACCCAGTGTAGCATAAAGATCCAGGAAAGGGTTTCCTGATGTGATGGAAAGAGCACTGCATTTGGAATTATGGAATCTGAGTTTAAGTCCCAGCCCTACCATTTAGCCAATTAGTCCTGGACAAGATACTGAAATATGTTTAATGTATAATATATTATCTATTTAACAGTAAATTATTTAACATATGACATGCTTAATATAAAATGTACCTATTATTTATATTAAATGTTTATGATATTATAAAATTAAAACATGTGTTTAAATTAATACCTTTTATAGTATCCTTATAAATATTTGTTTATGAAAGATGCATTAACTGCCAAATATTTTGCAAATAATTATTTTTAATATTATTATTAAACACTTTTTTAGTCCCATGTAAAAGGGAAGAAAAATATCTTGTTCATGTTAATAATCACTTTTTTAGTACCTGCATTTAATGACATTCTCTCATTTTCACGTTTTCCAATACAACTTTTGATAAGTTTCTAACCACGAAGTGTATCACTTCAACACATCCGCATTAATACTACTACTATATTCTTAAGTTACCATCTGCTTTCTGGCCTTTTGAATGTCATTTTTTATGTATTCTGAGTGAATTGTAAGTATTTTCTTGATTTTTCCAGTTCCTTCCTTTCCATATTGTTCTTCCTAAAACACCTTTACTTCTGTAAGCAAAAATTATTAATTAGAGAAGAGTGTTAGTGCTCAAAGTGATCTTGGCAGTTTAATGTTTCAAAGGGAGCAATTAGATAAAGTTTTTATCAGGGCCAGTCTTTCTTTCTCATTCACCAGTATATGACTTGCATAAACAATCAAGGAGTTAAAGGACAAATAAGCAGATTTTAAAAGCCAACCTCCGGTAACTGATATAAAGTCAGAAACACTGTCAGTAACCATTTAAAGGGGTGTTTTTATAGTTTAAATGTTGGCTCCCCAAACTGAACTATCAGAGGAATTCTATTTGTCCCCTGGCAATTTTTGATCTGTCACTTTGAATGTGTTATGTCTAGTCTTTTTTTCCCCCTTCTTTTTTTAAATTATTGTGTCTGATCTTTCTTTATATTTTATTATATCTTTAAAATAGAAGCATATATAAAGTAAGATATCCTTCAAAAATACAAATCATTAGAAACTTTATCTAATTGCTCCCTTTGAAACATTAAACTGCCAAGATCACTTTGAGCACTAACACTCTTTTCTAGTACAGAACCCATTTACCAGGGTTCCTTTAAATACATTTCTATTAAAAAGTGTCATCCAAAATCAGCTCTCATGATAACTGAACCATTTAATTTCTTTGTGCTACATCCATTGAATTTCAGGTCAAGAATTAGGGAAATTTATCTTTAATTATTAATAAGCCCCTGTAAATCAACATCCCCAATCCTGTCAGTCAGGTGAATAATTTTTGTTTAATTAAGAATTTTATTGAATTATTTGCATGCTTTTATTAAGGTAAATTCAAATCAACAAGAAAAACTAGGCAAAATTTTGATTTTGAGGCAGCTTGATTCCCATACTTCAAGTTCCCCAGCACTGAACAATGCTTAACAGGCTGTTGCTTATTTACACAAACTAGGCTTTTCATAAAGTAGTGCAGCAATAAGGTAATGTTAACCGAATCCTCAGAGTTTATTTTCAGACAGGCCAGAGTAAAAAATAGAAGTAACATAAGCACAATTTGGCATCAGGAAGATATATTTTTTTTAAAGGATAAAATGACTAGAAAATTTGACATATTGAGAATTTCTCCTGTCAAAAAATAAACTTTTATTTACCAGTATATGCTATTATAGATCTGTGAATTGGTTGGGACTCTCAGTTGTAAGAAATAGAAACAACTCAAACTAACTAGCGTAAACAGAAATAGAATTTATTGGCTCCAGTAGCCCAGAAGTTCAGGAATGAATCTACCATTAAATATGGCTAGATCCAGATACTAATATTTTTTAGTTAAAACTGTCCCTTTCCATCTCTCATAATCATTCTATGTTTCTTGTGAGTTATCTTTATTCTTAGGCAGGATCTTGCCATGTAGTAGCAAAAATGATCCCCTAAAGCAGCCTGTAGCTAGCAACCCCTAAGCAAGAAGAGAATATCTGTCCTGACTATTCCAGTAAAAACCCCAGGGAAGATCTTATTGA